CCCTTCTTTCAGCGCGAAAAATCACGTCTGCTAAAAAGACAAAGTTAGCAGTGACTTAGTGAGCTGAAAAACGACGCACAGGAGGTATACTGCAGATTTCAGTGCATTTCCTTTGCTACCTGACGATGGTAAAGCGAGCAGTAAGGGGACCCCCAATAAGATCGGAGGATCTAGACGGAATTAAGCAAAACGCAGCAATCCCCAAGGAAGACAGAATAAGTTGTTAACTGCACTGGCAGAAAAAAGATAATAATGAAACAGTTGCTGTCAAAAGTATACATAACTTATGTGCAAGCAAAAAATGAACAAACCTGTTTAATTCCAGTCCCGGCAAGTCGCTTGTCGGTGAGTCAACCAATTTTGCTAATTTCCTCCTTTTTCTGGAATTTTGTACTATTTGAAAAGTAACTACTTTCGCTCAAATTCACACTGATTTTGAACCTTACTGCAAAATCAGTTCCTAGTCTTGAATATTTAACCAGATGAAATTTTATCATACAAGACTGCACTGCAGGCGAAGGTGTAGTAAAGTTGGTGAAAAGAATGTTCAACCCATGAGGATGTGCCCTAATTAGGCCGCATCAGACTTGATTTGGCCCCTAAAATTCATCCTTTATCTCCTTTCCTTCAGGCTTTTCTTCCTGGGTGACGAACCGCAACCCACGGGAGCCGTCAAATTTGCAGAAATACTCGATGTGTCTGCTTCAACGACGTCTTTAAAGTGAATGACCACTCGGAAGCTTCTAAAGAGGCGACACATTTATGCACAGGTGTTAGGTGCTAATTGGCGATATCGAAGGGTCTGGCATTGCTATACCCGAATGTGGGAGCTTGAGAAATACTGTTCCAAGAGGTCCTGGTATCCTTGGTTCTCAACGTGTTCGCCTAAGAACAGAATCTCTTACAAAACTGAATTTTCTTTATTTTAGACTTGCTACGACTGTCTACGAAACATACCTTGGAGCGGGCACGGAACAAATTGCGACAATAGCGGCGTTACCAATACTGGTGTTACTTTCGATCGCTGGTTCACCATTGACGTTAACCACG